ATTTTGTGCTTGCTTCACTTCGGTTCCCGATAAAACGGTTAAGGACAGGTCTCATATGCTGCTCAAAGCTGCATTATTAAAGCACTTAACCGTCCTTAATTCGTCACATCAAAATGATCTTTAACTGTCACAGGAGTTGATACGTTAAAATTCGGCCCGTCTTTAGTCTCAATAAAATTCCTTCAAACAGCGCTTATACCCTTCGAGTGATAAAAATGGTAAAGACGTACGGTACTATTTTATTTCGACAACCGACGGCTCAGCATTCGATGGTCACTCTGTATTGAAGTCATTCAGAGTTCACTGAATGTCCGTCAGGTTGCATGATTTTCAGGTGTCGTCATATTTGGAGAGTCTGTTAGTGTATGGAAATCACGAAACCGTCGCATAGAACATGAATTACTTATATTTTTTGTCGTGCACACCTGAGAAAACGATCAATTTTCGTGACGCCTATTTAATAACTGTAACTCGTGTATTCAGCAGTCACTGGAGCGAGCTAAAAGATCTAAACCACAAACACACAAAGTTAACTGAGCACTTCACAACACAGGGAGAACACGGAATGGAACCACCAGTAATTTATTATTTCAAAATTAAATTCGCGGGAGTGTGCAGAAGGGGGGTGTTAGTTTACAAATAGTCTTATGAGTCGTCCTGTAGCCTCAGTGCATGTAGAGCTTGCTCTTCTTCTTCTAAGGCATTTATTCTTGGTCGTCCTGAAATAGAAATAAAATAGAATCTATTAACACCACATACATGATGATTTTAACGCTGTTACATAACCATAAATCTTAACGACCGCTCCAAATTTCCTCTCAGTTTACAAGACTAAAACGACAGTATACTTTCAAAAATTTAAACAGAAGGCCCGAGCACCTTAAAATTGAACCAGTGTGTGTCATAGTACTAAGTCGAGGGAAAAACAACAAGCACTCAGATCACCCGAGACTACGAAACTCTCGATAGAGCTCCTAACGTGCAGAATATTCTTCTGGCCAGTCGCTTGCTGGAAACCAAGAGATGTGAATAAACATCTGCACAAACCACCTTTGGAGAGCAATTTCATCGGTGACATCTCGATGGAATCTTGCAACACGTTAACCCATGGAAGAAACTTTGTTCTGGAAGGTATAACGTATCACATACCCTGACCTGTCAGTCTGTGATATTCAGGAGTAGAAGTTCATAAGGCTGACCTTGTACTTTAAGAATCGGGCTCATTCAAACAAAAAGAACAGGGACATATATGCACACCTACATAAATACATCTGAAACATGGTGATATCAAACCTCGAGAAGAAAGCCAGCAATACCCGGTATGCATTGTTTCATAACAACAGAAACGCTGGAGTGGTAGTTGGGGCAGTGCTATATCTACGATTCTGTCTCAAAGCACGTAAAATAAATGCTTAAGAATTTATCAATATCGACAAACCTGTATGGTGCTCAATGAGGTTGTGTAATACCTCAAAATATCTAGTTGAATATATCTACAATAAGCCCATTACTGATATCGTAGTCGATAGTCGTATAATTTACAGTTCGATATACACCAGGTGGATTTGTCATGAATTTCATAATGTGCACTATCTTACTTGACACAAACCAGTCAGTCCTATATACAATCCCCCGAAAGTTACACATAACTCGCAGTTGTGAAAAAATACGCTCTTCAAACCGTGAAACTTGAAAGGTACCACTAGTCAGATTGCAAGCGAACTAGTGGCAACAAATATTGATAGTTCATACATGCATAAACCGATGCGCAAAAGCTTTAAGAGAAAACAGACTTTAATATCAGATAGATAGACAGCATCGATAGATTAGTCTTCAATCCAAAAAGCTTATTCGTCATGGAGCCTTGCCTCGAGAAGTTAAAGCTAGAGCTTTCCAGTCGTTAGATCATAATGGTCCATTGGAAAACGGCATTGATGCCGCCCAGCTACTGCCAAAATATTGGTTTCAAACATTCTAATCGTCGCACACAACGCACATTGACGAAGGTGTCATCTGAAACCTAAGAGGAGTCTCAGAAATCATTCCAAGCACTGGATTGATTAATCAGAAAACACGGCATATAAACGAAGAAATTTCTGAAATCTCGGTTATTTTTATTCTGCCGAACTGAGAGAAAAAGCTTCAATCTTCGCAGAACAGATTAGTGTAATGTTTTTACATTCACCAAGCTGAGCTACAGTGACAGAAAATTGGAAGCTGTTTCACAATACACTAATTTTTGAAATGGGTTTACTCAAATAACTTTCAGGCCATCGTCTAATAAAACTTTTCACAATGCCCTCATAAATTATGAAGACATTGATATGCAACGGTCTGCATGACTACTTACTATCCATAAATCTATGTTCACTACAGCAGAACGGTTTCAGGAATCCTTTCCTTTGTATAATCAACCTGATGACCACAGTCTACAGATAAGCAACTACCGTTGATGGCAAGGAGAGGGTTGAGGTCATATTTCTTGATTTCTCAAAAGCTATTTGTAAGGTCAATCATATACGTTTAATTAATGAGCTCGAACGATTGTGTGTGAAGTTATTAATAATTGATTGGCTCACTTCGCATTTACATAATCGACCCATTGAGGTCAGTGTAAACGTCACCTTTTCTCAGACTACGGAATGCCCTGATGAGTTTCCTCAGAGCTCATTCCCAAGACCTCCTGTTTTCTTAATTTTTATAAACGAGCTTCCTCAGAAAGTATTATCTGATTTATTAGTTTTCGCTGGTGATGTGAAACTCTGGAGAGATGTTTGCAACCAGTATAATCATCTTTCAATTCACGAGGATATGGCTGGACTTTAACATTGAGAGGACAACAACGGACTTACTTCCGACACTTCAAAGTGTGAAGTAGTTCAACGGAGATATGTTGCGGACTACACTTATAACCCTCTTCACGGGGCTTCCTAAGTTAACAAGGTTCTAAAGGTGTTGGTGCCCTCTGATCTAACATCTTAAGCCAAAAGAGAAAAAAATGCCTTTCGAGAAAACCTTGCACTGGTAACTTTGAAAATCATTTTTTTCCAAGTCCGAAAGTAGTTTTTTAACATTATGGAAATGTTGTATTTTCCTTTCACTCGAAAAGGATAAAATAAAATGAAATGTATGCAACCGCGAGATACGAAACCAATTTATGAAATCAAACCTCATCAAGACATTCTTACGTCATTGGGTCCTAATACACAAGAGTATTGGTGTCACTGGCGGGGCCTTTTAATTTTTTTGTGCATCCTAGACATTACTGGGTATCACCTAAAATACTTACTTAGGCTTAGTTACGAGGCAAATTATAGTTGCAGTACCAAAAAACCGGAGAAAGAAAATAGAAAACTTCATACTGGTTGAGGTGGTTGAAGTGAATTTTAGAGAGTTCTTTTAAAAAGATACAAAATACCCCTAGAGACTCAGGATAGTATTTTAAAACTCGTGTTTCGCTTTGTACCTTCAAATATAGTTAGGTTCATACCTAAAAGCATCAGTTATGAATTGGTACCAGGTGCGAGAGCATGTTAAGCCGAAGCCTACATCCCATCTTACACACCAATCTTCAGAGTAGGTCGATGCAGAAAATCTTCAATCTACTGGCCAGTGGCTCTTTTCTGTATACCTTCAAAAATTATGAAATCCCTGGTATGCCACGTTATGGACGACTATTTATTATCCTTAAACTTATTTTTACCTCAACAGTATGGTTTCAGGAAGGGTCATTCTTGTATAACCAAACTGCTGACTGCAGTGAATAGATGGGCCACCATCCTTCATCGCAAAGGGAAGGTTGACATCATCTACCTTGACATCTCAAAAATTTTGATAGGGTGTTATCAATAAGTTCAAATCATCTTAAATTAATCGGCTTACTTCATGCATAAAAAATCAACATTTTAAGGTCAGGGTTAACTTCATTTTCTCTCAGACTACAGAATGTCGTAGTGGGGTTCCCAGCGTCCAGTACTCGGACCTCACCTTTTCGTGATTTATATAAACGATCTTCCATAACAGGTATCATCTGACTTATCACTTTTTGCTGATGACGTGGAACTTTGGAGAGAGATGCCCAACTAGGAGATTATATTGGCACTTGGGGAGGATCTGAGTTGACTTCAAAGATGGGCAGATGACGATGAACGTACCTTTAACAATTCAAAGTGTAAATTTGTTTATCTGAGACATGTTACAGACTACGGTTACAACTTATGAAGCTCCTTTCTAGAAGTATCCCAAGTTGAAAAAGATTTGAGAGTTCTGGTAACCTACGATTTGAAGTCTCAAGCCAACTGTAACAAAAATGCTTTTCGAGAAAACCTTGCACTGGTAACATTGTAGCGCCTATTTTGACCAGCTTGACGGTAGAACTTTCCACATAATCTTCATCTGTTTTATTTGTCTTCATTTAGAGTACGGAGACATAGTATTTCGTCCCTCGCCCCAAAAGGATAAGGACGCTCTGGAGCGTATCCAACGGTGAGCCACGAACCAGTTCGGGGATTCAAATTTAAGTCTTATGAAAAGCGCCTCCGATCACTAGACCTTTACTCATTAGAGTATAGCCGTCTTAGAGGTGACCTTCTAATGGCTTGCAGTATCCTTGACACTTCCGAACATCCCCTAAAACACCTACTTAGGTTTAGCTCCAACACAAACCTAAAGGGTAACACCCAGATACTGGAGACACAAAATAGCAGAACGGATTATAAATACAACTTCTACTCCTTAAGAGTTGTCAAATGCTGGAATTCGCTGCCGGCTGAGCTGGCTTATAAGACTTCCTTAGAGTATTTTAAGAGAGAATTTGACATATTCTCAAGGACTAAGGATAGTATTTTACTATGATTTACCAATTTCTTTTTTTCTCTTCTATCGTTAATATACCTAGATTCTTGCCTGGAGGTATTGGTGGTCCCCTGCAACTAGACACGGAAACCTGTTAAGCGGAAGCTTCTTCTATTCCGTCCACAACCATTTTAATCATTTGAACCATTTGAGTCATCAATACTTCGAACCTGCTGCCCGAAGCAGTGGTGTCCGCAACTTCAATTGACACTTTCAAGAGAAGACTGGACACTCACAGAAGCACACTAGAAAAAGAATAACATAGACCGTAGGCCTTCTGTCCTTGCTACATAAATCTGAATCTGAATTCACGACTTTTTGACTCACTTTACAACTATGGTGCTTGGTTCGGAATTGACGCTACAACGTGTAATGGTTTGTCGAGTGCAGCGCCTTAAACTATGTTTCTAGTTTTTATTCCAAGATTGTTGTAATATTAGGTTTGTGTTATTGTTGGTTGTTATCGTTAACCCTTATTATTAAATGTGAGTTTATTATGTGTGCTTGTTGGATCATTGAGTCACCATTTCTTTTATTGTTTTCTTACCCTTCTCATTCACGTTACTCTACATGTTTCCCTAGTTCACTAAGTACCTTCTAGACAGGCGCGAACCGCTATTGCGAGATATTCGTTGATTGTGATAACAACTTATAAGACATTTCATTCTAAAATTATTTTAAATATCTTGGTGATATTAATATTCAATGCACGCTCAATTCATTATCTGCATCTTTTTCAGAATATCATCTGAAAAAGCAGAAGAAGCAATAAACCAGTGGTTCAGGAGGTTATTGCACTGCAAATAAAGGAAAAGTCCTTTCGTATTCAGCTACAAGTCAATTATTCTGTTCATAGAGTCAAAGGTCGTTGCTTTTGACTTTAATTTCAGTGTGGAATTGGCTACTTTTTCAGGGTTTTGTATTCACACTAAGCTAACTTAATGTAGGTGAAAAAGAACTGTTGAAAAGCATATCGAAATCACTATGAGAGTTTGTTGTGAATTCTGGAGAGCATTCAACAATTCGGCACTCTCTCCTCCCGCTTTTGGAAAATGGTAATATGTTCTCTCTTTTATGTCCTTCATGGAATCGTGTTTATGTCTTGGCATAAATTTACGCAGTATGTAGACTTTATAGACTATAACTTGTCGAAAATAAACATGGTTTTTCGTATATGGTTCTAAAATAGAGATCCACCCTAGTTTTTTCTTAACTAAAAATAAAGTATCCTCACTTTATATTAGTGTGGGTAATGTTGAGGTGGCTACATTTTATTGTTTTACTGCTATTAAGGTCGCTTTTTCTGTGGATATACATGTCACATAAAGAACCTTTGATTTTCCCAAGATGACTTACTCCTACCAAATACAAGTACGTCGTTTATTCAGGAGAGTTCTTACCTTTTCTAAACCCTATTCAGAGAAAATTATGGGTAATTTGTCTTCCTTTTTGTCTATTAAAAGTAAATCGATCATTACACGTCTGATTTTGATTTCCTCTAGTTATATGTACGTAGTTTACTAGTTGGATTCGTGTACGATAGAACAATCGACCGCTTACATACAGTGTTATCTACAAGCTTACTATAATATCTAAAAAACAACGTCAGATCGATTTAGAAACTTTATTTGTCAGTTTTCTGATAGTTAAACAACAGTCCAACTGATTTGGATGATTATGTTTCATTTGCTTCCGAAGGTAGGCGTATATTTGGATGTTTCACCTCAAGATAACTCTAAACATAATGTCATGATGACATACTTGAAAAGCTTATCATGCTTAACCAATTCTTCAAAGACACTAACTGACAGTAGTTATCATTTATATTCGTGTTGTTAATTTGAACTTTATACGTTGTCAGCAATACCCAAAATAGTTTTCCAGTACCTAAAAGAGAATTTCATTGAGGGTCAAAGTACCAGAGGTGATCTGAAATCACCCAAGGTTGTCAGCGTTAATTATCTTTTGGATATTTATAGGAATCTAGTCTTAGCGGAATTTCAAACCACCAAAAAGTCGAATATTCGACAGCTCTTATCTAAAAGAAGCTTTGCAACGATGTTACTGCTTTTCAGGTTGAAGTATGCTAACTTAGCGTTTACTGTAGAAAGGCTTACAATACATTAAGACTTGCATATTTATATTCAAATCTGTAGTGTTTATGTGTATTCTCAGTTTACATGTTCAATGGATCTTGCTTTCATTTTTTTTCAGATTTTAGAAACCTGATACTTAGAGTTGATATCTACATTAACCCGAGCAATACAAGATTTTCGGATCTAAATGACTTTTGAAAAACTTGGTGTATGTCCTGAAATTGTTGAGTTGCTAAGAGATAAAGGAATTAATACACCTACGGAAGTTCAAAAAGGCTGCATTCCAATAATTTTGGAAGGTTTTTTCTGTAACTTCTTAATGCAGTTTTAGGAAACGATGTAGTAGCATGTGCCAAAACTGGTTCTGGAAAAACAGCAGCATTTTTAATCCCCATACTTCAATCACTAATGACGGAACTCAAACCATTATATGCTCTAATAATTACTCCGACAAGGTATCGGTTATCCAGAATTTTCGTTTATATTTTTCTGACATAGTGGTTTTTGAATTTAGCTAACACCCTTTTTCGAGAGAAGATGCATGAGGATCTTGACTAGTCGGCGGAGCTTTCCATTTTAGACAATCATTAGTTTGTTAAGTTAATGAATTACTTTTTTTTAGCTAAAATGAAATGTATAATAGTTTCTTTCAAATGAAACCAATTGACTGGTAACTTTGATATATGGCGGAAAAAAAATATAAGATTGTGAGTGCGGGATTTTAAGATGAGTGGTTCCGAAATTCATCATCAGATGATACACTCACGATACCACGTCTTTTAATTAATTTGACCAGTAATTTCCATCATATTATGCCTTAAGTGATCTATGGTTTGACGCTTTTTTCATTAGGGCATTTGGAAATATCGCAAATTTGCTTTACAGAGATGATTGTCCACAGTTAACAGGACCTTATCATCTGTGACTCTTACTATTATAACAAGAGACTACCAGAACAGATAGTCCCTAAATGAAAAATAGCATCCATAAATCTCACACCAGTTGGTTTAAAATATCATCCATGGTTTGCTTAATGCTAATATCAGTCAGCTATAACGTACAAATAAGCACATATATTCATCGGTCCAAGTTGCCACACCTCATTAGCACAAGGAGGTGAACACCAAATAAAAAAATGGTTACTTAAATGGTAGTAATATATAAAAGATTGCATATCGAGATATAATAGAGAAAGAATTAGTTGTTAGAAGGAAAGGTATAAAGCGATTTTAATCTCGCGATGTAAGGGAAGACAAAGAATATATTCATCTACGCCATTGTGATTGATCCAAAGCTGTGTCACCCAGAGTCTTCAACCAATGATTATGATAAATCGCGCCGATCCTAACCAAGTAGTCTGTATCTACCAACACGGCTCAAACCAGAAGCTAGTAACTTCATTCTAAGATTCATCCATTCAAAACTACCATCATTATTTTATGCTAAGAAAACCTTTAGATGTGTCTGCAAACAATGGGTAGGATATCTCTAAAGTTATCATGGAAATTGAAATTCTAATACTACCCAACTTCGAAGGAAGTATTCTTGAGTTAACCTTCAAGTCACAGTTTTTGTGAAGGATGATGCGACTACCCAGGTGCCCCGAAATTTCTTGGTGCGGTAGGGAGAGTCTACTCTCCCTCACAAAGTGCTCTCACATGGCCACGCGTATACAGCAATTTTCAGGGAAGTCCTACTCACTGTCTTCTCGCGTCAGTGTTTTTTACGAAATTAAGAGTACCGAAAGCGAATGTCCGGAGTTCTAAACCGGTTGGTAGATATGGAGGATCCACCTAGCGGAGTTGAAAAACCCTGGTTCGAAACCAATGGTGCACATGGGTTTTATGATCTTTAGGGGACAAATGGCGTATGAAACTATTGTTGGTCACGGGATACCATCGAACTGCATATCCTAACGTTACTCCACTGTCTTGTGGATTAAACCTCTAAATCAAAGGCTCGAGGTGTGGCCCCCTAAGAAAACCACTCGCTTCGGTTTGGGTAGCCGAACAGTATTCCAACCCTCACACAAATCAAGTGATTTATGTGGCACATATGTATTTGGTGCCTCCTTTGACCAATGTTTATGTGTCTAAATAATAATAATAATATCCGGATGCCCAAGTAAAAGTGTTTAAGGTGAATTTCGGACCGAAGATCCAATGGTAGAAAGTTAAGTGCTTTCTCCTTTAAGGTTTGAATCGGTGATGCTCACTTTAACAGTTCGGGTGTACATGAATAAATTTTGTCTCAACATACTATTATGGTTAGTGTTGTAAAACGATACCATCCATAGAACTGTGATATATAATCAAACACACGTCGATGGACCTAGGTTTTTTAAAGTCATTTATTATTGTATCTAGCAATATTATAATCTAGAAAGTGCAACAGGTTATGGGCGTATTTGGTTTTGTAAGATGTTTTTTAAGGCGTTATTACAATGTACGGGCTTTAATGGGTATTGAATTGTGTAGTAAGGTTGTTTATTGGCGAGTACTGAGTTTCATTTTTTCCGATTGGCAGGAGAATGCTTATGACCGTATATACCAGTTGAACAGGCTGAAAAGTCTTGTTTTATCTTGCTAACGATTCCTAGATCTGACTGACTTATGCAACGTGTCCATGTTTTTGTTGCTTTAGGGAGTTGGCGCATCAAATTGGTGAACAAGCCGCTGGGTTAAATTTAGTCCAAGGTGAACCACTATGTAATGTGTTGGTGATAACTGGTGGAAGAAACATAGTTCATCAGAGTATTGACTTAGCTCGATCTCCACATATTATTGTTTCTACTCCTGGACGGTTGGCTGATCTTCTGCGCACCCAGATAGCCGCACAAGAAGCTGATGCTGAGAATAGGCCAGAATGGACCTTATCCAGAACAAAAGTGGTGGTTCTAGACGAAGCAGATAGACTGTTGGAAGATAATTTTGGTGAAGATTTGAACACTATATTGAAAGCACTCCCGAAGCGTCGTCAAACGTTACTTTTTAGTGCTACATTCAGTGGTGCAGTCAAATCTTCCTTGGAGGCTGCAAAGTCAGTGGCCTATGCTGAAAACAGGCGCCTCCCTATTTTATGGCAACCTGAATGCATGACTACATGTTCATCTGCGGGGGCCGTAACTGTCGAGACCTTAAGTCAGTATTATATTCTGATGCGCCCTGAACACAAAGAAGCATTTTTGGTTCATACTGTCGATCAATTTCTTTCTGAGAATCCACATTCACTTATTATGATTTTTACAAATAAATGTAAATGGTGCCATCTTATTGGACTGATGATGACCAGTCTAGGCATTAAAACAACCTTACTTCACTCCTCTATGACTCAGAAAAACCGCATATCTTCGTTGACTCTTTTTCGTTCTAGTCAGATTCGTGTTCTGATTGCGACGGACCTGGCAAGCCGTGGACTTGATTTTCCAACAGTCGATATTGTAATTAATCATAATGTTCCTATTCGACCTAAAGATTATGTCCACCGAGTAGGCCGGACTGCTCGGGCTGGGAAAGCTGGTTTAGCACTAACATTGTGTGACCTTTTTGAAGTAAAACGTTTAAAAGCTATCCAAACATTCATCAGTAAGTCACACTTTAAATTGATTGTCCTGAAATAATCTCCGAAAATTTTTTTAAAAAAAAACGGAATTTGTATATTATGCCTGTAATAATTTTCCAATATCGTCTAGTGACTTTGATGCGATTCTGATAAAAAAATATGTCCTAAGTTGCTATTTGGTAACATTTCAGTTAACACCCGGTGTTATAAAAAAAACAAATCAGTTACGTACAAACATGCCAGATCCCCAACATTACTTTTTAAAGTGTGATTAGTAGTTAGATATTTACTACTATAAACGGGGAGATTAAATTTAGAACAGTTAAAAAAATCACGTACTGGATTATACGCGAAGTTGACGTAAAAATATAGGAAATGACAAACATCAATAACTGATTTCCCATTCCCCCTGTCCTAAAATCAATATCATCTCGCTATGTTAATTCAGTGTGAAGGGTTAAACTAACGTAAATTTGTGATAGGCTCTACGTTATGATTGACTCAATAAATATTAATCGCATTACCAAACCACATGGCTGCATAAAAACTAAACGAATATATATATATATATATATATATATATATATATATATATATATATATATATATATATATAATCAGTACACGGTTGCATTGTTGTAGATTGTGAACTCCATTCTTAACCGTTGTTTAGCTTGTAAAAACAAGCATTATTCTCTGTCTTCATACTAATGCCATTATCGAGCTCAACACATTTCAGTAGGAATTGTATGTGTATATTGAACATGGAAATCCTATCTCCAGCTCCGATTAATTTTATTTAATGATCCCTTTAATCAATTTCACATTTCTTATGTAAATGCAATTGTTATATAATGAGTGAAACTGCTTACATTATGACCATTCTGGCAAACAATTCATTGAATAGCCTCAATATTATGTACAAAACTAATGAAAAATTCCAGTTCGATGAATATAAAGTGGTAATAGTAGCTGTTGCATTTCGTTATTCCCCAGCACATTTCTCAAAAAACTACCAAGATCCACTTAATCTGAAGGTATAAAACGGAAAAACTCACTGTAATTTATCATCATACATCAATAAATCTGTTTGCCTAAGAATGGGATCTGCATTTTTTAAATTTTAATTCTGTGTTGTTACAGGCGCTTAACCCTAAGTATCTCATTGATCATTTATTATGTAGATAAGGAATTGAAGACATTTGATGTGAACGAGAAAAAAGTAGCTCAAATAATTGCCGAAGTATCAATCGCTCGTCGTGATGCAGAACGCGTAATTATTATCATCACTATTTACATTGAAATACATTTTCTAGAAACTAGATGAAATTAGATTCGATGAGAAGCGTGAGATCAACAAGGCGAAAAATGTGAGTTATTACTTTGTGTTTGTAATAGGTCTCTTTTTTTAGCTGATGAAGGCCAGAACGTCGAAAAATTTGGATAAAACTGAAAACCTATCTTCCAAAATTTCTTGTAAATAAATTCCTTATTTTTTTCTGATAGTTTTGTCTGTTGATTGAAATTCTCAATGGTAAGGTAATGCTTGCAAGTTCTGTGGATCATAGAGTAGGAAATACGTAACAATTAATTAACTGAAATAGTTCTGGCAAATTATTGTGAAAAATGATGTTTCCTGGCAGCCTAACTACATCTTATACAAATATCTTCAAATTACTTAGTAGAAAGAAACTTTGTATTAAACCGTATATTTTTTACTGGTTTAACAGTGGTTCAGTAATTAAGGCATCAAATTTTCAGCCATTAATTTCCAAATTTGAACTTCGGTCTACCTACTTCAGTTCAAGCAACCGGATAGTGTCAGTAGCCTCACACTCAAAGCCACATATACTAAAACGTACTTGGCAAATGAGTTAAATCAATAACAATATATCTCTACCAACAAACGTGGTAGCACATTCATGTAAAATTTGTTATAGTTATTTACAACCAAAGAAAAGAACTAAAATAGTCAACTGCATGTACCTCTTAGTTACTGTATATGTCCTTTGTAACTACTTGTTATTATGAGTAGCACATTTATTTCGCCTTTCCGCATAATTCATGAACTAAGATAGTTGGTGTAATTCATTGGTTAGATTAACGATCAAAGTTAATGTTGGAGTTAGCTGCTCTCCGAACTCGAATGACAAAAACCTTAACATAGTTCAGCATAAATACTTGAACTATCAGTTGACTGTTCTAACAACTTTTAGCAGTTTAAATGTGTAAATAGGTAACTGCATGTATTTTGATTCTTTAAATGCCCTATATTCAACACACCGGACTTTAGGATCCGGATCGGAAGTACATATCCTACTTTTAAACTCTTCACACTATATTAATGATAAGGCACAAACTCCTCACTAAGTATGATCTATAGATTCTTATGTTCAGACGACCGCTGCTTTAAATGCCAGATACTTGAAAGTGACTGTAATTATCTACTGAATGTCTTCAATAAGATTCCTTCGTAATTTGTTCCCAATGCAAACCAAGGGATACTCATATGTCAATGCGTCTCGAGTAACAGAAGTGTGGATAGACTAAAGTTGAGTCGCATATAAAAATCCAAATGCGCACCATAAAAGTGAGATACTTCGCATTAAGAATCAACAGGCAAATAAAGTCAACGATGATTCCTCGTAAAATATACTCTGCCTACACTACCCAATTGGAGTCCATTTAACTTGTTAACGATGTGCATAGTATTAAACTCAGTTACTTCCATATATCCGTCCCATCATACGTGGTATTTTATGACAATATTCTCCACAACATTAAGCAATATTTTCGGGACAAAAATCACTAGACATTAACTGCGCACATACAAGAAAATGTAATATGTTGCAAATGTGCTTTTATATAACGTAATTAAGACAACTAGTGTACATTAGTTTACAGTTTATTTCTATTTATAAATGAAGTAGTACCATTAATTAACAAAGAAAAAGATATTTAAAAATGCTGAAATTGTAGAGCAACTAAGAATATATATAATCTTTAAAGCATAGCATAATTCCTTTTAAGCTCATGAAATAATTAAGAAGACATGTACACAATGACATCAGGAAACGATTAACCTGATTAAATAAAAAAGACCAGCAAAAGTAAGCAATAACAATATTAACTATTAAGATAGATATGCATAAAAAGAATATATGAATACACAAAAGAATCAATATGAAAGAAAACTACAGAGAATTCAAGTATACACTCCAAATAAACTATACAACAGTCATTTTTAAGTGGAATGATAGTGTTTGAACAACATTCCCAGGGAAAAATACAACTCACTTCAAATGATGCTTTTTTAAGCTATTGTACAGTGTATTTGAAATAATCATAACTCGGTTGCTGCAGAGGGTTTTGTTGCATACAGTTATTCGTTTCATTATTGGTTTGTAATATGTGGGACTGAGGGTATACAAAATCGCTGGCGGATAAATCATCTTGCGTATGGTTATTTGTAACGGGTTGATGATAAATATCCGACGGTATAGAGGAAGACTCCGAAGTGGATATGGAACTGGAAGGTAGTGTAGGATCGTACCATCCATGAAAAGCAGAAGTAGGATGATCAGTAATTGGTTGTCGATATGTCCTGGAATCTGAGGCAATATCAATACTTGGTAAGTATGTTTCATGATTACCAAATGGTCGGTTTATATTGAGATATGACATGGTATGTGGTGACATATTTTCTGTAATATCACAACCACAATCACCTACTGAGTCTGACGGCATAAAGCAGATAGCTGATGGGCGTGTTAATCCACTTTCAGATGTTTGAACTATGCAGTCACCTGTGTTTAGGTTAGATGCTTGAAAAGCACAGTTAACATCAAGAGAGTTGTTGCGTTTATGATCTGTAAATATAAATTTGCAAGTTTCTCGTCAAATACAAAAATATGTAAGCAATAAATAAATACTGAACGATAAGAACGTAGATTTTAGTAACAACTTATAAGTATTTTCTTACTTCGCTCTCCATCTGTCACTTCAAAAAGCTTGTTTTATGTGCGTTTATCCGGGGACGCTGTGGCATCTTCGTCTGGTCTTGCTGGCGTAGGTGTCGCACTAAGCGCAAGAGCTGAGGCAGCACTAGTCGACTGGATCCCCATTAACAGTCGGCTATGTGCTGTTAGATTAGAAAGTTCCATCAAAGTGAGAAGAAATCGGCGTGAGAAACGATGTCTTTTCGTCATCTCCGCCTATGCCCCGACAGATTGCAGCCCGGATGCAATCAAGGACGAGTTCTACCATCAGCTAACTGTTCTTCTCCAGAAAGTGCGTTCGACAGATATTGTAGTATTAGCTGGAGACTTGAATGCTCAGGTCGGGCGTCTAGGCACAGAAGAGAGTCGTTTAGGTGGCCGATGGGGACTCGTTGGTCGCAGGACAGATAACGGGGAACGTCTACTGCAACTATGCACAGACCACAACCTGTTTCTGGCTAGCACTAACTTTCGGCACAGTCATCGCCGATGTGCCACCTGGCGTCCCCCTTCTGCATCTCAAGCCTGGACTCAGATTGATCACATCGCGATCAGCTACCGCTGGCGCGGTTGTGTACAAGACTGCCGCTCCTTTTGGAGTACCTATCTGGAATCTGATCATGCTCTGGTCTGCGCCAATCTTACCTTACTTTTCAGTGGACAACGAAGTGACCGCCACCACAGGATTGATGTTAGCAAGCTGGCTGCAACTTCTGTTGCTAGTAAGTACCGAACCGAGCTAGCTTCTAGGCTAGCTACCATTCCACCGAAAAGTATGGATGAGCATTGGTTGCAATTGCATGACGCCATGAAAATGGCGGGTACAGTCTGTTGTGGGTTTGCGAAACGTCCCGCTTACAAGCACTGGGTTTCTTCTGGTTCCTTACAACTGATGGAAGCCCGTCGGTCTACTCCGGGTGACCGTGAGTTTGACCACAGACGAAGGGTGTTACGTAATGAAATCGGGCAAAGCTTGCGTAAGGACCGAGAAGCCTGGTGGTCGGAGCGTGCCAGTGAGTTGGAAGCAGCAGCTGCATCTGGTAATACCGGAAGCTCTTCCAACTCATCCGAGCCACTGGCAACAAGAAGTTTGGTGTGAGCGAAACAATCTGCGAGGATGACGGAACGCCAATCACTAACATCCATTGACGTCTTGGACGATGGGCAGAATTCTTTGAAGGGCAGTTCAACTGGCCTGCTGCTCCGGCAACATCGGTCAGACTGTCCTGCCCTCCATGGCCGGTGACGACTGATCCACCAAATGAGGCGGAAGTCCGCAAGGAACTCCAACTCTTGAAACGTTACAAATCACCGGGCCCAGACGACTTACCTCCGGCTCTTTTTAAAGATGGTGGTGACTTTTTGACTAAGGGACTGACGACGTTGTTTACAAAGGTCTGGGAACTAGAGTGTGTACCAACGTCATGGAACGAGTCGATAGTTGTCCCTATCTTTAAAAAGGGTTCACGTTGTTCCTGTAACAACTATCGGGGGATAAGTCTACTTCCGATTGCGTCCAAGCTATTGGCTTCCGTCATACTTCGTAGGTTGTTCAGAACCCGAGAAAGATTGACTCGCGAGGAGCAGGCTGGGTTTCGTTCTGGTCGAGGATGTATTGATCATATCTTCACCCTCCGCCAAGTGTTAGAACACCGCCATACTTATCAAAGGCCAACAATCGTAGTGTTTCTTGATATCAGGGCTGCCTTCGATTCGTTGGACAGAACTGTTCTCTGGGATTGTCTATTGGAGAAGGGTGTGCCTGAGAAGTTTATTAACATCCTAAAAGCCCTATACACAAACACCTCAGGCAGAGTGAGGGCATACAATCACCTTTCTCCACTATTCCATTCAAGCAGTGGGGTTAGACAGGGTTGCCCAATCTCACCATTCCTCTTCAACTTTGCCATCGATGACATTCTGGAAACAGCTCTGACGGATGTAAGTAATGGTGGTGTGGATGTGTTGCCTGAAGAAAGACTTCTCGACCTTGAGTATGCGGATGATATTGTCTTACTCTGCGTGAATGCCCAAGTCATGCAATCCGCACTTAATCAGTTGGCAATTAGTGTCCGTAGGTATGGTATGTGCTTTGCACCTTCGAAGTGCAAAGTTCTTCTACAAGACTGGCAGGTTTCTAATCCTGTACTCACTCTGGATGGTGAGCAGATAGAAGTAGTCGAGAAGTTCGTGTATCTAGGTAGCTGCATAAGTGCTGGTGGTGGTGTGAGTGATGAGATCAATGCACGTATAGTGAAAGCCAGAGCGGCTTATGCCAATCTGGGCCATCTTTGGCGCCTTCGTGATGTTAGTCTGGCTGTAAAAGGTCGGATCTACAACGCGACGGTGAGAGCAGTTTTACTCTATGCTTGTGAAACCTGGCCTCCCCGAGTTGAGGATGTTAGACGACTCTCTGTGTTCGATCATCGTTGTCTCCGAAAGATTGCTGGCAACCAGTGGCAACACCATGTCAGTAATGCAGAGGTTCGGCATCGAGTGTTCGGTCA